CCCGTTTACCCTTTTCCACAGTATTTCTTCTTTCAATAAAAAGGTTCCAGGAAATGCCTCTTTTACTAGCCACCTGCATGGGAAAGAAGGGAGGGGGGAGGGGACTCAGTTGCGGTCTTTTGAAAACAAATCTCCCTCTTTTTCCTACATTCCAAGGGAGGAGCGTCACTAACGGTCACTCAATGGTCTTGGTAGATCTTCACTTCCCCTTTCTGGTGATTTATGGGTTCGATGCATGAATCAGAGGTTCAGTGCAAGCTAGAAAAAGAGAAAATGCGTCAAAAGAATTTAAAATTTTTTTTTATTTATTTTGTTTTTTTTTAAGGAAAGGGGGAGATGGAGAGATGTTTGTTTATTTTGATTGTTAAAAAGTGTCCGGGAAATCGACCCTTCCGGGAAAGGGACGTCCGGATATGGGACGTCACACTGTATATGTGAGTTAGGAATGAAAAAGTGAAAACTCAAATGAGTGATTTAAAATTTTCATGCACGTAATTTTTTTAAAAAAAATATTGGATTGATTTTATTTAAACTAAATTTTAAAAAAAATAGGATATTATTTTGCTATAAATCTGACTTAGTAACAAAATCCCCTCTCACGTCAAATTTTATTAAAATGTAAAAAATATAGTGTACTTGAAAAAAAAATTATATGGATGAAAGAACATGATTTATAGAACGGAACTATATTTTCAATTTTTGCGATTTCTTTTCCTTTATATTTTCTAACTGAAATTCTAGCTGAAACCAGACTTACATATTTTTTTTATTCTTAAATAAGAATCTAAAAATCACAACTATTTCTTTTCCCTCCAATGTGCGTGAAAGGAAAAATGAAGTTTAGTTATACCTTATATAATTCAGGAGGGGGGGGGGGAAATACTTTGAAAATCTCAATAGAAAAGAAAACAAATTTTTAACTTCATTATTCTTTATTCCCAAGTAAGAATTGAAAAATCAAGAACATTTCTTTCCCCTCTGATGCACAAAAAAAGGAATCGTTTAAATATAATTTTAGAGAAAAAAAAATTCAAAAATTTATTGTAGAAAAGAAAAATCAAAATTTTTTACTTCCTAAAGAAAATGTCTTTCTGCAAGAACTCTAACGTTCTGCAACTATGTCGACGTGATTCTGCCACAGGGCTAAACTGTAATATCAATTAACCATGAGTGGTCCTATTTCCTTAAACATTTGCATAGTTCCTGTGATGCTAAAAACCCAAATTGGTTACGAAAAATTATCAATACAAAATATTTTTTTAAAAAATTTAATACATGAGTTTTTAAACATACAGAGCTCCCAACAGATTTTAGCCAAGATAAAGGAAAAAAAAGAGGACCATTTAAAAAGACTTAGGAACATTTTTAGTTATACTCAGGAACCATGATAAAATTAGTCTTTAAAATCAAAATATTAAAAAATCAGTTAAAACAGAATTCATTTCGATACAAGATCCTACTAAAAGATATAAATTTTACAATAAGCTCTTAAAATTAGTAATTTAAAGTACACAGATTTTAAAAACTGCTTTGGAGTTCCAGAAACCAAAGTTTAATATTTTACAAAAAAAAAAAATCACTGAAGAAAAACTAAACTAATCTATGTGTAAGTTTTCAAACCATATTTAAAATTATTCACCCTATTCATGAAATTCAAAATGAGAAAGCTGGAAAAGTATTTAAAAACACTAGGTTAAAAAATGTTCCCCAATTCGTAAGTAAGATTCAATCCTTAGCGATGTAAGATTCTACAATAGTAATTTCAATGTATCTTTGATCAAATAAAAAAAATAAAGAAATTCAATGACTTTTTAAAAAATATAGTCTAAAAAAAAGTAAATTAGTATATGATTTCTCAATCTACTACACTGACAAATCTGATATTATTGAATAGTTAATTTCCATAGCTTTTAACTTTTTAAATGATAAATGATCACAGCATTTTCTAAAGTGTTATTAGATAAGTGAACACTTCAAATTGTGCTTACTAAAAATCTCTTTAATTAAAAAATATACAGTTTTCTTCTTTTCATAAAAATCTCAGAAAATTCTTAAAAGCACAAATCAAGCGAAATTAAGAAGGCCCTAATGCTATGCTTAAGCAGTGCAAACTTTGTGATTTCAAAATTAGAAATATATCTTATAGATATGTCACACCAGTTTTGAAGGAAAAACGGTAATATAAAACTTCAGTAACTTGCTTTTAAGCTAAAAGTTTACTTTTTTTCAGCTAATTAATTTCACAACTTTAAGGACTTATTACAACTAATAAAGTATGCTATATTTAAAAATATTTTTATCCATACATTTAGTAATTTCACAAAGATATGACACTTTTAAGAAGTTTTAAAATGTTATTACCAACAGAAGTCAAAATTGGAATCATTTCTTGCTAAGACACTCTAAGGGTTTAATATTCTATTTAAAATTATAATTTGTTTAATATTTTTTTAAAATCAGAATCTAATATTTTCAATTGAAGAGTGTTTTTATATTTAGAATAAAATCAAAAATTTTTTTAAAACAAATCAATTTTTGAAAAGCCCCTATTTAAAATTCTTGTGATTATTGAATTGTTAATTAAATTCATTTTAAATAATTTAAGGAGATTGATTAAATTTTTAAATTGGCTAATCTCCCATGAAATAATTTTTATCTTTTAAAAATAAATATATCACCTTTTATTCACTCTAATAAAATTTCATGTTTAAAAACTTAGAGTATGAAATTATAGCTTGCAGAAGAAATAAGGAAAAAAAATATCCACTCAACAAGCAGTTGATTTTTGGCACTTAAATGAAAGACAAGGATGCTGCAGTTGGGAGACAAACGCATCACAGTGCTTGTCCACCTTCAGCAATACTTTTAATTTTAAAATGACAGATTTCTTTTTATATTACTCAAAACTGTTATGCTGGCTTTAAAAGTTATAACCCTTTATAAAACAATGTACAAATAAAGGGAGTGAGGAAGGAATTATCTTATGTTGCATTAGAATTTATATGCAAAACATTAACAAGATGTATAACAGTTAATAAAACCCTCCTTGAAGCATGCATCTCAGAAAATTAAATATTAAACATCTTGCGCTATTGGGTATCATACAAACACTTGAATCTTTCGGCAGGATTTGTAACATTTCTAGAAAGTGCTTTAAGACACTTGTTTTTGAGTTTTCATTTTTTAATCCCTTTTATTCATTTGATATAAGAAGGCAAGAATAATTTACAACTTACATTGTCCAAGTTTGAATCTGAATGACCGTCCTTAAATTGCATAAAGTATTCCAGGCTTTTTATTGTAATCTTATACCACTGGATTTAAAAATATTTAGTCCTTAAGTTATTTCATGAAAAAAAGTCATGAAGCAAGATTTTGAAAAGTATAAATTTAAAGGCTTTTAATTTTTAAAATTTAACAAATGCAGTAAAATAATCTTATGCAAGTCAGATTTGTCATATCAAAAGAATTTCTTATCATTTGTATTAAAAACATTGAAATCAACTCGATAATCTGAAATGTCAAACATAGGATCAAATAATTATTTTAGACAGGAATGTTTAGTCGCATTTTAATTTCAATATCATAGACATTATTTTTTTAAAATCATTTGATTAAAAAAATATTGAACCAAATTACAAATTTTAATAAAAATTTGATAGAGGCATTTCACTAATTTATATTGATTACAGAAATTTAAATAGGTTTTCTTAGTTTGCTCAAGTCAAGTGCTTAGTTTGCATATGCTTAATTCTTTACTAATCTTATTGTTTTTTTGAGTGCACATTTATAAATAACAGACATGTGATTGCTGGAAGAAATAGTCTGAGCTTTTTTTCCCAATGTTTACTTTTTTCAGTATATTTTTTAGTGAACGACCTTTTAAATGTTTGTCATTTTGGAATTTCTTTTTAGATTATCAACTGTAAACTTTTTGTTTTGCCTCAGTAGTTCATTAAATAAGCAAAGTTACTATGGATATATATTTTTTAATTTCGGGTTTTCGAAGTTTCTCTGAAATTGCGTTTTTCTTTAACAAAGCTGCGTAAAAAAAAGTAATTGCTCGTGAACGAGAACCTAGGAAGCGAAGAAAAAAAGAGGGTGCTGGTAAGTGTCGATATGTTTTGCGGAATAAATGCCTTGTTAACGAGACTTTGGCTAAGTAACGAAATTTTAATTTTCGCAAATTGGCGAAGAGTCATAAGCATGAAATTGTTATTTAAATCTAAAAGTATACCCAATAACTTAAGAGTAACCAACTGTAATTTTAAACTACTATTACTTTTTTTAACATAGTTAAATAAAATATTGACCTATTAATTTAAAGAATTGAATGAGCAAATCTATATTGAATAAACTTATGCTTGAAATCATGCAAGAAATATTTTTATGGTAGCTAATAAAAATAAATAATTTAGTTCTTTGCCAGAGACAAATTATTTTATCATGATTGATGATTACTTTATCGTGATGTAGAGTCTTTGAAAATGCTTCAGCAGTTAGTTAATTTTATCTATATAATAGGTAAAAAAAAATCTTTTATTGGTGCACATAGTCTAATAAATATTTTAAAAAATGCTTAAATATATTTTTTGAGGGCCTTAAAACAAGCTTTGTCACTTTTACTACTTAACTTTAATTACACACCCTATTTGAGCTTCAATAACATAGTGTAATGGTGTTGTTAATTGAATATAAAAAAATTTCTTTTATTAATGAAATGTTAAATTCTGTATTATATCGATACAAATATATTGTTTTCTCACTGCAAACAAATTAAAATTATTTGCTCACTACAAATAAAAATATTAAGCACTTATATCAATAGGGAACAAATTTATTTCGTTATTATAAAGGATGGAAATAATTTTAACATTTCATAACTTTTTGTAAATTAGATATTTTTCCAAAGATTTTTTAACAAATTTATAAAAGACTTGGTAAGTTGGTGTCTCAGTTGAAAAATTCTCACCCAAATATTATTCATGAAAATAACTTACCTGAGCCTGCTTATTTGGCTCTAAACGTAACAGGCATCCGACTTGAACATTACTTGTATGTATGATACCAGCACACACAAAATTTTCTATGTTTGGATCTATACCCTCTAACAGCATAATTCCAAATCCATTCAACTAAAATACAAAGAGAACTGCAGTAAATAATGAAAGAAAAATCTGTCAGAGCTTTGTGAAAACTTATCTAATAGAGCCGTTTTTGCTAATATTTTTACTTGAAAAAATAATAATTGTCTATGTTAAAATATAAGATAATGGATTGCAATATTAAAATGCAAAATAAATGGTGAAATTGATATACTATAATATTTTTGAAACAATAAACTGCAATGCATGTTAATTAATAAGAAAAAATCGTTTAAACAAATTCATCTGCCCACAAAAAATAATTTTTAAATAGGAAAAGCAGGGTTAATACAAATCATCCAAGCTAAAAATTAAGGAATTCTTAAGGACTTTTTCACAAAAAATTATGAAAAGTAGATTTTAATGAAATTAGAACAAAAATCTTTTTTTTGCTTTCAATGACAGGTTTTCAGCAAAAATTTCAGCATTAATTTCTTCAATGTGAGACTTTTTCTTTAATAAAATAGTTTTTTGCAACTCATTGAACTTGATAAAAAGATTTTTCTGTTTCAAGGACCGAAAATAAAAAATGTTTCAGCGGAAATGGCATTACACCATAGTAAAAATTTAGTTTATTCTCAAAATGGAGATTTCTAGTCAGGGGTAAAATTTGCCCAATTAAACAATGCTGATATTTAATATCAGCTCAATGAAATTTTTATTATATAATACAAGAAAAATAATTTTATTTACTCAAAATAAACAATGTGTACAAGTTTAGAACAAATATTGAGATCACACTATAAAAATAAATGATGCTAAGAAAATATGTGTTTACCTATTAAAACAAAAATAGCTTTAAATCTTAATAAATTAATGATTTCAACTTAGACTAATATTCATCAAAATTATGAGTCATAATAAGAAATTAAAATACCATCATTTCACAACAATATCAATAGAGATTTAAATTCTGAACACAAATTTAGGCAATTCTTGAGTAATAAATAATGAAAAAAGCTTCGGGTAAAAATTTTCCAAGCTATTTTTGTACTTATGTGAACAATGTTTGTTTAAAATAAATTATACAAAAATACTTTAAATTATACGAAGGCTAAGTATAAAATTTTTATCTAAGTCTTTAAAAAAAATTATATGGGATTTTAAAGTGAGTCAATAAAAATTGTCATGATGTTTGATTATGAATCATAAGAGATATCAAAAATTTGTGAATAAGAATCACTATGTGTGACTTTTAATTCTATGTTTCATTTTTAAATTCAGTTAACATGGACCACGATGCTTAAATTTTAAATCGTGTTTTATTTATTTACGAATCTTGATATTTTTAAATCGTGAAAATACGAATCAAGATGAGTAACTTTAAAATCACGTAAATATAAATCAAGATGTGGGTTTTCTAAATTTTGCAAATGCGGACCACAGTGTTAGATTTTTTAACTTGTGTGATAATGAACTTCAATATGCAATTTTAAAACCCATAAATGTAAATCCCAATGCATAATTTTAAAATTACATGATTACAAATCACAAAGTGTGATTTTTAAATGATAATGTAAATGTTAGGTTAATGAAAATGATTCAGGATGCTTGATATTGAAACTGCATTAATACAAATTATGATGAGTGAAACACATACCCGGCATATAGGAGAATAGAAATAATCAACACTTTAAAACAAAACCCAACACTACTTTATTCATTCTATTCTTAACTTAGTTTTTTTTCGTTTTTCCATAAATAATGTGCAACCTGAACTCAATCAAATGATGAAAAAATAAAATGACTTTTCCCCAACAAAAGATGAAACAAAGCAACCCAAATAATTACTGAACATTCTGAAGAAAAAGGTGTGAATTTCAACCTCCCTACAACCAATTAAAGATGCTGCCTCTATTGTGATCATTGAAGGGGTTCAGCTCAAACTTTGACCTCACCACAATTTGTATTACTTACATGCGAACTTGTGCTCACCAAAACAGTTCCTTTCTTTTTTTCTTCTATAAATAGCTAAGATTCAGTTTTAAAAAAATAAAGCAGTTTTTAAGGACTTTGGAGTAAAATAAGGAGTTAATTTTTTTTAAGGCCCGTTTATTATTATTTTTTTTTCCTTCAAAATTAAGGAGTTCTTAAGGACTGTACAAACTTTGAAAAAAGTACTAAAATTAAGGTTACATTTCAAAAGTTTCCTTGATAAATTCATTTTTCTCACAAAGGCAATTAATTTTAAATCCAGAAAATAGAAATTTTCAACAAAGAAATATATGCAAAAACAAGCTAAGAAAGTCCTGGATAAACTTTAAATGATGGTATGTAATGACTACAGACAACTTAATGAAAATTTAAACTTTTATAAACATTCCAAAATGTGATTCTTTTCCATTGCTTTCCTGTCTTTTTCAGTCAGTTGCAATGAACATGTTCTGATCACCCATCAATTCTACTAATTATTTCAATGTTCTGAGATTTTAAAAAGGGTGGTGTGGTATCAAAACAATAATTGACGCTATTCACAGATACATTTAAATTGAATTAAAATACCTTTCATTTTACTGTTGATAACATGTGATTTTTGAAAATTGGAATTTTCAAGAGTTAAGAGCGAATAAAAATACCTTTTTCTTCAAAAAAGTAACTAAATTTAGCAAATATTGCAATTTATACAAAGGCAACATTTTTTTAAAGAAGAAAATTTCCCATTTTGTTACAAATACATACACAACTGTTGCACATTTAATAATGTGACAAATTTTTTGATACAATAATTTATATAACAATTTAATTTACAAAAAATTCAATGACATATTTTGTAACAATTTCACAAATGATAATGCTACTAAAAAAATTAAATTGGCATGAAACATATATCTTGAAATACAGATGAAATTCCAAGATACACTGAATAAACACAGATTAAACTTGAGAAAGCAATGATAAACTCGCATTATCAGGCATTAAAAATGAAAATTAATCTAACCTTTGTTTTTGTTGTTTCTATGTCCATGGGATGCTTGGCTTTAAATATTCTTTGTGCTTCTTGAGAAGGACTATAAAATATTGAATAAATAAAATTTTTGTTATGCACAGGCCTAAAACAAAATAAAAAACTAGAAGAATAAAAAAAAGAACCTTACTTATTCAGATTTTTCCATCTTGTGAAAAATGCTTCAGAGTTCATCACTGTTGGCTCAAAAAATTTGTTTATTGTAACAGGAAGTTTCATTGACAGCTTTTGTAGCACATTTGAATACCTGAAACAAAATAATTTTCAATAAAAATAATTTTTACAACTATAATTGATGTCAATAAATTCAAAATAAAGCAATTACATGAACTGGATAGTCAAAACTGGTTTTTCATTAAAATCATCGATACATTCTACGTTCAGTTGTTGCTGAACTTGCGCACCAGCATCTATTGTAGGTTCAACAGGTTTACATTGGATATTGATTTCTTTTCATTATTAAGGAAACACTAAAAATTTAAAGCTAAAAACATGGGCTTAAACTGAGATATGACAAAATAGAAAAATACAAAATAAATTAATAGTCCAGTAAGAAAGTTGAAAAATGCTAATTTAAGTAATTCATGAAACTACAAAATTTTACAGAAGTAATAAAAATAAAGCTTCTTTTAAGAAGACACATGGAAACAAGGATATTAATAACAGTTAAAGGAAGTGAACACAAAAAGACAATAAAACTTATTATTAACAAACAAAAGGGACAGGGGCAAATATATCCTATGATGCCTTTATCCTATGATTAACTGAAAAATTGTAATAAATACCACATTTTATAACAAAAATAAATTAATTCACTTGAGATATCTATGTTTATGCACTTATACTTCATGAAAAAATGAGAACACACCAACTTACTATACTGTTCGAATTAATTGGGACAAATGAAAAAAAAAGTGATTTATTGAAACTTTAGCTTTTAATCATTACATACCTTAAGTTACATTGATACATGTCTGAATTAATATGAAGTATGTCCTCCTTTAGCAGATATGACTTCAAGAACACGTTTTGGCATTGATTCCACTAGTGTAACGCACATGTTCTTGACTTTATCGTTGTGGAACCATACTTGAATAGCACTTTTTATCATTTGTTCTGTTGTCGTGCAATTCATCTTGGCTAAGCGATTCTTTAGAATATGCCACAGGTTCTCAATGGGATTTAGGTCTGGTGAATTACCATGCCAATCAAGCACTTCTGTTTTGTTTTCTCGCATAAAATTCTGGACCAGTTTGGAATTGTGACAAGGGGCCAAATAAAGTTGAAATGTTCCGTCGAATGTTTCCATGAATGGAACAATCCTACTATATAATATATCGATGTATTTGGCTGAATTCATCATGCCTTTTAGAGGCACTAAGCTTCCAGTGCTATTTGTTGTGAAGAAACCCCAAAACATTTGTTTAGAAGGGTGTTTTACAGTCTGTTGGATATGATCTGGTCTCAGACTTTCGCCTTTACTTCGTCTAACTACACTTGATTCGTGTCCCTGCACAAATAAATGTGTTTCATCACTGAAAACCACTTTCTTCCAGTCATTTACAGTCAATTTTTGGTATTTTCTGGACCATGCTAAACGTTTTTTCACCATTTTCTGAGTTCGAAATTGTTTTTCCTTGGTCTTCTTGCCTTACGTCCAACTTCTAGAAGCCTTTTTCGTACAGTTGAAGTACTCACATCAACACCACAATCCAATAAATTCCCTTCGGAGGTCTGCGCTCGTCTTTCTTGGATTAATTTTACTATTTCTTATTAGACTTTTATCAGTTCTTGGAGTAGTTTTCCGTTTGCGTCCACATTTTCCTTTTCTTTTTGGAGAGAATGAGCCGGAATCTTAAAATGTTCTAAGAATTCTAGAAACACTAGATTTCCCTACACCAACTGCTGTAGCGATGTCTCTTACAGTCATAGAAGTGTGTTCATTAATAGCGATAATTTTAGAGCGCTTTCCTCGGACTAATATTAATCTTTTATAAGCACATAACTTGTGTTAGACTAAACTCAAAATTATAACCACCAGTTTCCACACTGAAATGCCCACAACTGAACTACAAATACACTAAAACCAGTCAGACGAGTAAATTATAGTGAAGGTCTATCCGTCACCGCAGCTCAAGGCACATATAACTGGTTTGAAGCGGTTCGGGACATCACTGGCAATCCCATACCAACTCGAATGAGAAAATCTTGCTTGTCCCAATTAATTCGAACACTATAGTATGTATGCCATCGAAAGGATTGCGTTGATACTAATCGACCTAGCGGTGGTGTTGCAATATTAATCTCTACAAGTTTCCCATCATCTCTCATTTCATTGTCGACTCCATTACAGGCTGTTGCCGTTCAAATTTANGACCAGTTTGGAATTGTGACAAGGGGCCAAATCATGTTGAAATGTTCCGTCGAATGTTTCCATGAATGGAACAATCCTACTATGTAATATATCGATGTATTTGGCTGAATTCATCATGCCTTTTAGAGGCACTAAGCTTCCAGTGCTATTTGTTGTGAAGAAACCCCAAAACATTTGTTTAGAAGGGTGTTTTACAGTCTGTTGGATATGATCTGGTCTCAGACTTTCGCCTTCACTTCGTCTAACTACACTTGATTTTTTATCCCTGCACAAATAAATGTGTTTCATCACTGAAAACCACTTACTTCCAGTCATTTACAGTCCATATTTGGTATTTTCTGGCCTATGCTAAGCGTTTTTTCATCATTTTCTGAGTTAGAAATTGTTTTTTCCTTGGTCTTCTTGACACTTCCAACTTCTAGAAGCCTTTTTCGTACAGTTGAAGTACTCACATCAGCACCACAATCCAATAAATCCCTTCGTAGGTCTGTGCTCGTCTTTCTTGGATTAATTTTACTATTTCTAATTAGACTTTTATCAGTTCTGGGAGTAGTTTTCCGTTTGCGTCCACATTTTCCTTTTCTTTTTGGAGAGGATGAGCCGGAATCTTGAAATGTTCTAAGAATTCTGGAAACACTACATTTCCCTACACCAACTGCTGTAGCGATGTCTCTTACAGTCATAGAAGTGTGTTCATTAAGAGCGATAATTTTAGAGCGCTTCCTCGGACTAATATCCATCTTTTATAAGCACATAACTTGTGTTAGACTAAACTCAAAATTATAACTACCTGTTTCCACACTGAAATGCTCACAACTGAACCACAAATACACTAAAACCAGTCAGACGAGTAAATTATAGTGAAGGTCTATCCGTCACCACAGCTCAAGGCAGTAATAACTGGTTTGAAGCGGTTCAGGACATCACTGGCAATCCCATACCAACTCGAATGAGAAAATCTTGCTTGTCCCAATTAATTCGAACACTATAGTATATCTAGAATAAAGAACTCATATAAATAAGGATACTATGACTTAGGCTGTCTGAACAAGATACAGTTGGGGTAAAATTATTGAATTGAAGAGGAGTCTTGTTTCCATAGAAGAGACTGATACGTCCTAAATTTTGCCTGAATTCACTCTTTACTCCAATTTGTAGCAGATCATTTTCAAACAAAATTCCATTGTTTTTACATATAAGCCTAAATGATAAAAATATTTCTTTTATATTCATGCATTAATGATAAATTTTTACAATGAATAAAACAGATTAATTTACATAGCACTAAGATTTCTATCATAGTTACGTTTAACCTATGAACATTTTTTATATTAGAGTTTCATATTAATAGAGAATCATATAACCTGATAACTAATGGCACTAAATGAACATTGGTACACAATGTTTTAAAATTGGTCACAAACACACACGCAAAACACTATAAGACATAAGTAGTTTCATTGCAATGAACCAAATTCAAAAACCCCTAAAATGAATCACACTATGTGTCAGCATATTTATTCAGCATTATGTGTCAGCTATTTTAAAAATTTCTCTGAAACAAGTTTGTCCAAGTGCATGCTATTTATCACTTATTATTTGCTTTGAAGTTATTAGAGTTAATGTAATGTATCCAATAAAAAATAAATGCAAATTTTATAAAATACTTATCCTCAAAAAAATGGTTTACTTTCATTGAATACTGAGTTTTTATACAAAAAATTTTACCTATAATATTAGTAAATAAGTCATTTATTTTTTGACAGATTTTTCCCCTCATTCTCCGGATGCCCCCCGACGGGGGCGGACGGGACGGGGTTAAGCTTTGATATAGATTTTTTTCAAAAGTATAAGCGCACCTGTTTTTTTGAGAAAAATTTCAATTCGAAGATACTGCATCGATCCAAAATCATTTTTAGTGAACTTCTTTTCAAAATAAATAACATTGTTAATAGATTAACATAAAAATATATGCTTTACACAGATTTACTTGAGAAATTTACTTAGTAGCAAAAGACTACTAAAGAACAGTCATTGAAGTTCCTGCACCTTGTATTCGGTTGATGGAAGACATCTAGCACTGCTTTAACAAACTCTTATAAGTCGTCTGTTTGCTGCCAATGCGCTATTTTTTAATTATGCTAAAATAAAGATGAAATCAGATGAATCTGTATCTTTTGACTCGGAAATATTTATTAACTTTTACCAAATAAATTAAGTAAAGAACCATCAAAAGGAAGAAAAAAGTTTAACATGTATTATTAAAAATGTGAAATAAGGATCGAAGCATGTTTTCAAACAATTATTGTGAAATAAGAAGGCTAACTTCTGAGGGAAATAGCTCAGCGAGTGAAGAAATTCAGGTACAATGTGTTGGACTATTAAAAGAAGAGCACAAACTTGCAAGAAAACAAACTGGTCGGACAAAAATAATCGATTCGAATCTGAACGACTTTATTGCGATAACAGGCAAACATAATGGATGAAGGGTTGCCACAGTAAAAAATGAACAAAAATAGTTGCTTTTAGTAGCCTCAAGCATGAAAATAGTTGCCTAAAACTATGAAAATAGTTGCCTGAATAGGAACAAAAATTTATCAAAAATGGTAAACCAAATAACTAAAATTATAGCTTAATTGTCAAATACTATTATTAGGACTGGGTGATGTCAGAAATTTTAAATCGTAATACATCGTCAGTTAGACATCACGATATAGTGATGCATCACAATTTAGCTTTTGTTCAAAAATTACCTATGGGAAATCTGTAAATCAATCAAAAAAACAAAAAAAAGGAATAAATCTAGTAGAAAAGAAAATATTAATTCTAAACATATTTTACTATGACATCAATATCATTACTTAATTTTTTCAATTAAATTAATAAAGTCAAAGTAAAAGCAAAACCAAGCTTTTTCATTTTTCTTAAATTAAAAATGATATAAGATTTATTGGTTTAAAAATAATAATACTGTAACATACTATTTTACATACATGAATTAAAAACTAAAAGAAGAAAAAATACGAAAGTGGAAAACAAACCAAAGAAATGTTAACTTTAGAAGAAAAATTTTTTTTTCATTTGCTGAAAAAAAAACATGTTTTTGAAACATCATTAGCCCCTTTTTTATTTACTTATTTAAAATAATAAAAAGTAGTATTAACTAATGGTCAAATTCTGTACTTAATAAATGTAATAATATTTTTACTTATTATTTTCATTTTTGAAAATAAAATAGACCAAAGATTTATTTGTTTAAAAATGATACTGACTATCGAACAAATTATAAAACAAACAAGTATTGAAAGAATTTTAATAAAAATTTTTAAAAAATACTTTAAGTACTAATGTTAAATTATTAAAAATGCCAAAACATTACTAAACTTTTTATTTAATTTAAAAAAAAAATTTGTTTTAACTAATAGCCAAATTTTTTTAAAACTTTGTTTTCATTTTCTCAAAAATAAAAGCAAATTAAATAAAGGTAAGCTTTGTTTTAATTTCTTTATAATTAAAAACGACTGAGCATTTATTGGTTGAAAAACAATCAAATTATTATACTTAACTACATTTAATAAATTTAAAAAAACAAACTTTTTATAACAAAGTTAAAATACAAAATACCCCTATTAAATTGCATCGCTTAAAATAAAAAACAATTGAAAAAAATCAATGATTTGATCTATTGAGTTCAGAACGAAAATTTAAGATAACAGCAATTGTGCAGCAATCGCAAAGTAACAGTAGGTCTACTAAAAATAATTGCCAAGAATCGTTAAACCCAGACAGAAAAAAATGGTATGAAATAATGCAGAACGAAACGATCGCTGCAAAAGTCTCACTGAAAATAATTTACAAGAAACCCGACAATTATTTCCGACGAAATAAAATGCACAACGATCACAAAATGACTTAAGTCCCATTGAAAATAATCTTCAAAAAACGCAAAATCCTGAAGACAAAAATGGACATAAAGAAACTATGCATTGCGTTCTATATTACAACGCTGATACTCGCACAAAACCGGGAGTTCTGATTCAATTCGCTCGTCATCATTCAAAATCACAAAACTAACATCATCCTAATAGCAAAACGCTATCTATATCTCAGCAGCTAGACGAAATCAAAATTGTCTTCATTAGTGCGGTAATAGCGTTAGCCTAGTCAAGGATCCCTGCATATTAAATCGTTAAACCGTGATTGTAATATAATTACGGCGGCTTAAATCAGATTTCTGATGCAACGCCTAAAACGAAAGTCACTACATCGGCCTACTGATATATGCGTTAAATCGATATTTTGTGATACATCGATTTATCGCCCAGTCCCAACTATGCTCCAATTAAAAAAAAAATTTTCACGAATATAAAAGGTATACATATTAGAAAATAGGTGCCTAAATAAAAGTCGAATTACAATAAAATACGAATGTTAAATAGAAGGAAAAAACAATTAAAACTGCCCCTCAGAGAGAGCATATAACAAGTACTTTATTAAATCCAATGGAAATTTAAATTTATGGCTCTTTGGAAATAAATGATTGTATAAAAGTTTGCTTACTTTTATTAACGTTCTGAAAAGTAACGTTCATTTTTGCGAAAAAACTTCGCCAAGAGTTAAAAAAAAGTCGCCTATTCCTGAAAATAGTTGCTTTAACCTTTTCAGGCAAAAAAGGTCGCCATAGTCGCCTAAGGCCAAAAATAGTAGCAAATAGTTGCATTTTAGTAGCCTGTGGCAACCCTGTGGATGTGTAAACAATCTAAAAGTTGCCTAAGTTACACAGTAATTATCTAAAAAGTAAAGACGTTCACACCATCATAAAAATAGAGTGGTAATCATAATATTCTGATCAGTCATCATTTGAACTTCAATGGGATTACCTGGACTGGAAAATCCATCAACGGAATGCTAACAAACAAAGATGATCTACGAGAGGCTCTTCAAAGCTGCTGGAGCCAATACATTGCCAAACTTTAAATAAATCTATGAAACAAATGTCTCACATATACAAAGCTCAAATACAAGACCCGTACTTTTATGAAAGCTAACTTTCTCAATAATTCTTTCTGAACATAAATTAAAATATGTATTTTTCTCTCCTTACATTGAGAATGTTTACTTAGAAAACAAATCTAATAAATAAAGTTTTGGATCCCTAAGGAGTTTCCACTTTGCAAATTTCAGGAAAAACGGGAATGCGTTCAGACTATTGGCAAGGACAGTACAGTTAAAATTTTACAAATATTTTTTAAAGAGTCTATGCATATGCTTCTAGTATTTAGGAAGAGAAATTAAACAAAACACTAACATAAATGAGGTACACAGGTGTTGCAATGAATTAAAATGGTATTTCTATCTATGGAATAAGAAATTAGACTTTTTATATTAGTGATAGTATAGAGTTTAAGTAGTTATCACAGTACCATGCATAACTATATTAATTATTTCATAAGATAAAACATGTTTACAATAAAAAAGATAATCTTAATCTAAAAACTTTTACTGGCATGATTTTGAAAAAATTTAAAATTTTAAATTAAAGCTGAAACAAAAAAAAATTTGAAGCTTTATTCAAAATTCTATTACCCTTTTTCTGTTACATACATCTTTTACTTATACATCCTCTCAATTTCAAAGAAGTTGTTAGTTGTGTTTTTAAATTTGATTTGTAATAAATAGCTAATTCAAATTTGTTTTGCAATAACTAATTTAAATTTGTTTTGCAATAACTAATTTAAGGTCATTGATTTTTTTTTTTAAAAGATGTGCTTTTTACAGTATACTTACTTATATAATCCTTCTTCATTAGATATGACAATAGCTCCTGGCGCTAAATTATTTGAAGAAGAATTTGGAACAGATGCAGTTGCTAAATCTCCAAAAACATCAACTAATAAATCATTTGTCGTTGGTGCAGATGGGGCTTGAGGATTTGGAGGTGAGCTAGCAATGCCCAAGAGATCAATAGTTGTTGAAGCTGGCTAAAAATTTACAAAGAATGAAACATGGTTCAATTGGTACAAAAAGCCAAAAATCAAGGCTTAATAGTAAAATCTATAATTTTTATTATAATTTCTTCTAATATTTTAAGCATAAAATTAAATCAATAGCGAAAAATTCTAAGAAGTCCTTAAAAGAAATAGATATAGTAGAACTTCAATTATCTTACACCCATAAAATTGAAATTGTCAGATATCCCAGGGTCCCTTTTAAGCTGATTTTTTTTAGTATTAGATTTTAATGTTTCAATTATCATAACATAAAAAATTTAAAATATGTTTTTGATACATTTTTGTAGTAAGTTTTTAGCAGTTAAATTTCAGATTTGCTGTAACGATAAAAGGGTACCATCAGTTTCATGTTGTTTAAATTACCCAACATATTTAATAGGAGTCTTTTGAATCAGCAGGAGCAAAAATCTGTACAACTACAATCACATTCAGATTTGTTACACTGACAGGATCATCAGATTAGAAAGTTTTAGTGATTATACTCTGAACAATCTCACTTAGTTCATAAAATACATTCTTATCATAGTTTAACTAATCTAGTAATTCATCAGATGTATAATCCAGTCTCGGGATTTCTGATGTCTACATGACTTATTCAAATCCAGCACATTATCAATAGTTTTCTTACCCACCTTTTCTGCTTTTTTTTCAAAGGTATTTTTAAACTACTACAAACTTCAGTAATATTAATTAAATAAGTCTAGTATTTATGGGTAAATATTTGCTGTAGCTTTGTGCACTCGGGATATCACAACCTCATGTTATAATGCAAATTTTTCATTGAATCACATGGGTCCTCATATCAAGCATCAACTGTTATTCTTTATTAACTATAAGCAGATATATTTAAGATAAGTTTTTACTCTAATTTACATTTAGAGAAATCTCCTGTCAAGATGCATTTTCTCTAGATCATGTAGCTGGAAAAGATCAGTTTAAAATTATCGATTAATTCAAGAATGATCAATTTTTGACAAAATATACAACATGGAAAACTCATTAATACGGGCAAGAAACAATTTTTCCAAAACAAGAAAAAGCAAGATATATGTACTACACAGTATAGAAGAGAAATCTTATATCAAATCATAGAAAAACTTCATATTGGTGCCAGTAGAACATTTTTGATATTACATTTTTGTATCACACTTGTTAGAACAAAAAAAGGGAATTAAATAACAATGTTGTATTGTTTGACATCAATTTATTGGGACTCTATTAGCCTTTCCTACCTTTTACAGTATGGATACATCTTTTTAATCATACTTTTTGTTAAGTATTTAAAATCTTTAATACAATTCTTATTGAAATTATGCAACAATAAAAGCTTTATATTTGAATATATTTGTTATTGCTGAAATAATTGCAAGATTGGAAAAAATACAATAAAAAATAGCTTATAAAAATACATAAGTTATTTAATGTAAAGTCAAAAATAATAAATTTGAACAATACCATATTATTGACTTCTCCATTATTTGCAACGCTGTGATTAAATAAAGCCGGATGATCTTTGGTTACAGCATTTGGAGGCAAGCCTTCTGCCACACCTGGCTTCTTTTTCTTTAAGATTGCTAAAATAGAAGATTCTCTTTCTGGAAATGGAGGCATCTCTTCTAGGACGGTGGCCTAAAAATAAATTTAAAAAAATTAAACATTATGTTCATAAACATCTATAAAAATGTATTGTGGATTTTTGCAGGTATCACAAATTGTTTATCAACTAACAAACACAGCTAGTCAGTTGCCCATTTTGATAAAGCCTGATTGTACATTACCAATATTATTTCATACTTCTAATGATTATGGTAATACAAAACTTTAAAATTACACAGAAAGAATAAAAAATAAAAACCTACAGACTGAGCAAGCAACAAAAACTATATATGAAAAAACATACAATAAGTTCATACCACAAATCAAATATAGACCATAACTTTTTTATAATAGTATTATTCATACAGAAATAATTTAAACTCACCAATACATCAGATGTAGCTATACTACTCAGTTGTAAATATTCAACAGTACGTTGCTGAAGTTCTGCATCTGCACTTCTAATATTGTTATCACTTTTAAGAATCTGAGAAGATTTTTTTCAGAGAATTAAAAAAAATAATAAAAAATAAAAAGACTATATATTACATATTTATAAAAATTATACTTACAGACTGTATTTCATGCTTTATTTCAGGAAATAGATTTATAAATTTTATATAAGTTGTTAGCAGAAGAGCTCTAGTAGCAGCAGGGCAAAGATGATATTTGGAATGAAGCAATTTAAACTGGATAAGAGGACTAAAAAAACATTTCACATTAATATGTATGGATTTATATTTATAAAATTTATTAAATGATTTTAAAATATTAATTACTAATATTATTTTTAATCACTTAAGTTTAAATGTTAAAAATGCTATTTGTGTCTCGAAAAAAATTACATTAACTGGATTTTGAATTGAAAAGTAAGAATTGAATATGTTTTATTCAATAACAAAAGAAAGTTAATTAACATTACTAATGAATGACTTATAGCTGTTAGATATTTAAAATTTCTCAGCAAACATTTTTCACTTTAAATGCACCAAATTTTAAATCAAAAGAAATTGAATATTTTTGGTAAGTAATCAAGGTAATAGATTTCATTAACATAAAAGATACAACTTATTACTAATACAATAAAATGTGGTTACTTTGCGAAAGGTAAGATGAGTTTAGGACAACCATGTATACTGGACCTCCTAATGATAGGAAAAATAAAGATAATAATTTAAGAATATTTTGTCAGTCTCAGGGTCAGTATTATATTTTTCAACAGCTGACACTTATGTTCTGAAACAGACTGTTCATCTATAAAAATTGTCATTTGATTGCATTTTTTTGTTGTTGTTAAAGAACTTAGCCAATTGATATTACAGTTCTTATGAAACGTATTTTATTTATAAATAAAAACCTTTATACCTTCTACTTTATTTTTCATTTGATGATAACTAAGAATATCGCACTTTAGGTGATTATTTTGTGACAATTTTTATTTGCATGTTAATCAAGAGGGTGGTTATGACGGAAGATAAAATTTAATGTGCATAATGTTTGTTCTGACATTACAATACCAATGAAAGGAGTTAAGGTAAATTAAATAGTTTCGAGCTGATGATGAAACACCAAAAACTAATAATGTTGTGCTATGTTGCTGTTCAGAATTCTAGGAAATTGTACTCAAGCAGGATGCTTGCACCAGGCTAATAAAAAGACAATATTTAAGAAATTATTCAACCACCAGATTGTCTGGTACAAGAGATATAAAACAAAAATAAAATTTTTAATAATTTGTCCAATACTGAGTTTAAGGGGATAAAATTCACTTCACCCAAAGTGTTATTTAGAAGAAAGTTTTACTTACCTACATTAAAAAAAGAGTAAAGGAGATATTTTTAAAAACATTCAGAGATCTACAGGTAACAATATAAAAAAAAATTGAAATTCTCACCTAGACCTTTGATCACCAGCAATAAGATTTCCAAATTCACCTAAAATATAGCCAGCTACTTTCACCATATTTTCATGGCAAGCAGGTGCTTGAAGTGCCTAGAAAATTAAAATGAATAGAAATCATGTATATCATAAATATATCTTACAACAAATAGACTAGACTATCTGCCTTACAACATTAGAAAATTATTTTCTGCATACTTAATTTATTCCTTTTCGATTTCAAGGAAGATGCTCTCGGTATTGATGTAAAATTCTTAGATATTCATAAAATTCTCAATTTTTTTTCCATAGATATATCGTTAGTATAGATCCAATACTTACTTCAAAAACTGTTTTGGCAGCATAGCCTTGGACATCATCTCTATTTATAACAATCTGAATAACTCTGTACCACACCTATAAATAGTTCATTTTAAATATAAGTTTCATGAACTTTATTTACAAATTAGACAAATTATTAGACTTAGTTATATAACAATAAAAATACAAAAACTAATTAGATATGGAACACATTTAGCCCTCAAAGATTTGGTTAGGACAATATTTGGATGCTGCTTAAGGCAGCTAAAGGGCAAGCCAGTAAACTTAAAAGAATTATATGTAGGTATTTTACTGTCCTTTTTTATTTTTTATTTGGCACAATAACTTAAATTGCCGAACTTATCTTATCAAAATAAGAATGAAACCAACACTGACTGACAATGATAATTGAATTTAGGTAAGGAGCTCACCAGATTTGTACATTACTAACACAGCAGCAATATTGGTTCATAAGAGTACTGATATCCATGATCGCAATGCTTCTGGTTTATATAGCTTATTTTAACTGAAAATTCTCATAACTCCTCACAATAGCCAAAATTTTCCTTTTATTTTGCTAACTTTCAAAAAAAAAGTACTGTTTATAAATGCAATTGCTAGGCATAGGCTATCCTTCAAGATTACTTTAAAAATATTTTTCTCGTTTTAAGCTGAAATTCAATTATATGCAGTTTTATTATCTTAACTATGTGCAGAGAGTTAGTGCAGGACAATTACTCAAATATATAAAGTTATATTATACCTATAAGTTTTGTTTCAGCAGTAAGAAAGTAACCAAAAAAATAAAATAATTCTTTTTAAATTAGTGTATCTAAACACCAAATAAGTACAGTCTAAGGCATAAATATTTCAATTCAATTTTAAGCCACACATTTTGATTTCTATTATTGCATAAAATAATTCACAGATAGAATAAAATATGAGGAAACTAATTTTAAAATAAGAACATTAATATTGGGTCAATGGAAATTAATTATGTAATGAAATTTAGCATTGGGCATAATTTTTGCGTAAGGCTTGGACTAAGGCTAAGGACTTAAAATCATTAGCCAGTAAATTAGTCAAATATCAAATGTATTAGCCAAATTTCAAAAGTCTAAGCCAAATTTCAATAGTCTTAGCCAAAGGTAAATCTTTTAAAAAAAATTATGATTAATTATTTTCCCATGGAAAACTTCAAATCATTATACAAATTCATTATAAATTGAATTCATATTTCATAAAAAGTAAAATCGAATCTAGAGTCATTTTACAGTTGGGGAGGAGAGTATAAATGAGCAATGAATGGGAGAGATGAAAAATTTAGAAGTTTTATAGCCTTTGAGGGAAAAATAGGTTGGGGTTAATTTTGGTAACTTCTTAAACTAGAGCAGTAACATAAGGATAAAAATGGAGCAACCTTTAATGTTTTTTGAGATTCTGACTATTTTTGATATAAATATATTTCATTTCAAATATAACATTTCCTTCTTTAAGTCTTATTTCTGAATAAAAGAATTTTTACTGTCTCGCTTATTTTTTACTGTCCTAGCTTTAATCATTTTGAAAAAAAAGTAATCACTGTTATTTGAATAAGTTAATTCTGCATTATTCTGTTTTATCAAAATTTGGGCGTTCAGTACCAGCAAAACGTAGATGGTTCTACTATATCATTGAAAAGTGATAAAGATAAAATCAAAGTTAAATTTTCCTATTTTAGCAATAATTTTAGTTTTTACTTTTACAATAAGTTTATTTTAATAAACATTTTGTTACTGTAACGAGAAAACATATTATGCAAAAACAGTTGGATGATAATATGCTTATTGCTACCAATTACATATACTTTTATTAACACAAACTGCAGGATAGAATCCTGTGATCTGGCAATGGACATGTTGATCTGAATTTCACATTTCTTTTTAATGCTTACATAATCTTTCGTTGCTAATATTATTTGAGTTAATATAATTCGAATGAGTTATGTGATGTATCTAAATTAAATTACTGTAATCAAATAAAAAATACAAGATTTGTTCAGAAAAATTCATATTGAAATAATTTTCAGGATTGACAGGAATATATATATTTCATTAAGGTAAAAAAAATTGATCACCAAAACTTTAGCTAAAACAAAATGTTTCCCTGAATTTACAATTTTATAACATTTGGCGAAATGGCAAATGCTTTGGGCCTTGGAGCCTCTAACAGGAAAAGATAACAAAATTCTTGTTCACTGAGTGTTTATTATGATCAAAAAAGAACTTGATGCAAAGTCAAACAATAACATTATGTATCCTAGTATATTGATTAAACAGTGTTGTAAGCCAAGCTTAAAGTAAAAAATGTAAAAGGAAGCTCACAAGAGCATCTTAGGATGTGTTAACCTGAAGATGAACTCTCTGAAATGAAAACTCTTGTCACAGAGCTCTAATAAATAGCATTCAAACATGAAATTCAAGTTATAACTTCAGTTTTGATGTAAAAGGCTATTTTAATCAGCCACTTCATTTCCTTTGAATTCAAAACTAGATATTCTGCTGCAGTAATTGATGCATTTGGGGAAAAAGGCAGTCAATGAACAAACCATTTTGCGATGGATTACTAAGTTTCATGGGGGTGTGAAGTCAAAAAATTAACCACACAATCATAGAGCAGCTTCAGTTTCCTCCATTTTACAAAGTGTTTAAGTTAAAGCTCAGAATCTTCTGAGATAGTGACTGAACTAGGCTATCGGAAAACTCATAGTGCAAGCATATTCTCATTATGAGCCTTCTTCATTCAGTCAAATTATGCTGAAATTACAAGATTAAGATATGAAGCAGTAGCTCCCCCCTCCTAACCTCATGACTTGTCACTATATTTTCATTTGTTTCATTACTCTCATCTTTTTTTGCTGGCAAATGCTTTATATAAAAGAAAAGACATTTAATGAGCAGTTAATGACTTCATTACATCTCTGCAAAAAAAAAAAAAAATTTAAATTCTGGATCATTGCTTTGCCAGACAATTGGTAAGTAAAGTGTGTTCATGTAGAGAGATTATTTTTATTTTCTTAAGAACAGCTTTCACAATTATCCTCAAAGTGTAACAATTGTTGGTCATGTAATAAACATTACATGCACACTTATAACAAATAACAAGATTAGAGAGCAACTAAATTAAGCTGCAACATTACAACAAATAAAGTGAAACAAAAAACTTTTGCAAAAGAAAAATAAGGAAAACAAAGACAGAATATTTTTTATAATCAGGAATATCAGCATAACTAGAAACCCTGAATACTACATCAAAAAATTGTCTACAATTGTCTGCATCCTCAGAAATTAATAGTAACTTAAGCAGTATCCTCTGATAATAAAAGTAACACATAGGGTAAAAAAAATCTAAAGAAAGTAGAGATGATATACAGTGTTCCATAAAGACTTTCCTTAATTCACTATTTTATTATCCCTGTCATAAATGAAAACAAAGGGTGTACACATTCAGGGATGCAAATTTATTTAAACTGGGAAAAAACCAAAATGCTATCGAATTCTGACGAATCACAGTACAGAAAAGCAAATGTAATAAATAAGACAAATTTGTTTGTGTGAAGAAACAGGAGTTGGTAGAAGAAAACCTTCAAGTTTCAACTCTCAATTAAACCTGTTTTGATGTTTAGTACATATACCTTCTGCTATTATAATTTAACTGATTGCGATAGTGTTTTTGCTTATTCTTCCCTTAAATATTAATTTGTGACTCCATGAGTATACTTTTTGCTTTCATTTTCGAAAAGAAATTTAAAAATACATATTAAGGGCAACCTTTCTGGAACACCCTGTATAATGCAAGGCTTATTCCAGGTGAATTTTGTGAAATGTTACTCTGATGGTGTTTTTGCACCCCAATGTGTATGTATCTAAATAAAACAGTCTATTTACACCAATTACCTAATAGATTCCACTGGTCTTAGGTCATTTTCACAATATTATATTTTAATATGCTGATGAATGATGTTATTATGACACATATTTTGATTATAACTCACTAATTTTGAACTCCTATTTCATTTGCAATGTAAACATACATAATTTTGATTTATTTTTTTGGCACTTTAGTTTATCAGCCATTTTTACATGATTTTTCAAATTTCATATTTTGTATTTGAGTAATCAGCCCCCCTTCAGATTTTCAATATTGTGATTCCATCACATTGTTTCCTCATCAGTCATTTATTGTTTCTTTCAGCAGTTCTACATGGTTCTTCAAATTCTTATACTTTAACACAATATTATTACTACACAAATCTATGTAGTTTTCCGACAGTTTTTCTGGCATTTAGTTTTTTTTCATCATCTTTGCAAGGCTTTTTAAATTTTGATATTTTAAATCTGATATTAGGTCATTCATAATTTAAGCAATCACTTTCCGGCAAGCTTGATTTCACGACTATCCCATAGTAAATCTACATGCTTTTTTTATCACTTACTTGCACTTATTTGTTTTTTGAGACAATTGCACATGGTTTACAAATACTGATTTTTGTAATATATTACAACATGCGATTTTTAAATCACTTTTAACGTATTTGGTTCACGTTGATTGTATTGTAAATTCCCTTTTCCGAACATTAATTATATGGTTAAAAGTCAGTTTTCTTTTTTCACTTGTGTTTTTTAAAATCCTCATGTTTAATTTTTGTGAAACCTGCTTGCTTATCCAGAATTTTTTTTTTTTTATATAATCGCCTTTTTAAAAAAAATCAGCCTTAATTTTTCTGAAAATAGTTTATTTTCAACTGTTTTATAAAATAACTAGAAGCCAGTTGCCTCCCCTTAGTTTTATTAGCAAATAGTCTTATTCTAGTTGCCAGTATAGGTTCCGCTTGTACAACTGTTTGGAATATAGAAATTTATTCTAACAAAAATAAATAAAAAAACATAATTACCTCTTCACTAACATAATCCCCTGCTATTCTTATTAAATTCAGTATCACATCAACATACCACGTGTAGTCTGAAGCATATTTTTCAGCTAAAATAGCAACTTTTAACACCTAAGGAAAAAATATATATTAAGCTTATTTAAAATCACTAACTATTAAGTCAAATTTAACATAATGGATTTTCCCCCAAAACATTTTCATTAACTTACTACTAACTTACTTATGTATTTCAGTCTATATTAGACCATGACCTTCCTAACAATGACTCTAAAGCAGCCTGTCTTGTGTCTTTGTTTTATAATTTTAAAGTTCTTTTCCTTATAATTTTAAAGTTTTTTTCCTCATAAGTTCCACGTCTTTTTTGATCTTTCAAATTTTTGTTAACCTCTGTATCTACTATTATAAATCTTTTAAATGCATCTGTAATCCATTTCCTGTATGTATATCAAGACCATAGGTAATTTTTTTCTGTTTTTAATTTTGTGAAATTTATTATACCTTTTTCTTTAAATAGTTAGTTGATTTTATGGTTCAATCGTTTCTGCACACTCATCTTTTTTGACTGGCCCAAATTATACATGGCTTTTAGGATTTTCCTCTCTCGTGAAATTAACACTATGTTTTTGGCTCAAGGTCCAAGTCTCTGACTCATAGATATCCATTGGTCTGATCACAGTTTGTAGTACAAAAAAGGTATATTTATCTGCAATAAGCATTTGCTTGATTTCTAGGATATTGTTTTTAGTTGTAGTTGAACCAAAGTACTTTAAGTTTTTTGATCCTTATTATTACCTCTTTCCTAAGTTTTATTCACCGACTCTTAAGCTATTTTACATAATTTGTGATTATCATACTTGAAATTCTGGGCAAATCATATACTTTGGAGCTTTCCAATTATGAAACTTTTTCACATCCCACTAGCTCTAAGGGGCTACAATCATTCTCCTCATGATTCTAGATCATCTTCAACTAATTAAATATCGTCATTCTTGTTCAACAGGTTTTCAAAATATTCTGCTTACTCTCCAAGAGTTCACCCTCTTCTCTAATAAGGTCTTAATTTTATCTGCAACAAAAGGTGTTTCGTGGGCAGTACCCTCTTCTTCTTCAGTACCCTCTTAAAATATGTCAACTTCTTGTATCTTTTCGATTACCAGGCTCTTCTTTGCAAGGATTTTGCTCATAGCTAATTTCGTCTATAGATTCTTTTGTATTGTGCAATTACTCTTGTATAATGTAAATTTTACTCTTGCCTCATTTTTTCTTTAACACGTTGAATGCCATAGGTACTGAGTTCCTAGCATCACGGAGGTCACCAGTGAAGTCAAGATTATTAGAAACACATAATTCGAGTAAATTTTTAATGCTTTTAATTTTTTATATCATTATCATTACTAAAATGGTTTGAAGAAATTAATGCAATACATACTGAGAAAATCATTTTGACCAGACGGGCAAGCCAGGTAAAATTAGGGTGGCATTCAACATGTTAACAACCAAGATTTCACACTACTTGTCAAACCATCTTTGTTAGTCTTTTCGCCCTCTATTCCCAAAGTTTTCATCAACTAAATTTATTATGTTTTTTGATCTGTTCCACCTCTCCTCCACTAACTCACTCTACATTCCTAAGAAATTTATTTTCTAATTTTGCAATAATTATTTCTAGTTCCCTTAGAATCTAACTTCCTCACATTAATTTCATAAACATCTTATTATCAAGATAAATCAACAAACATTGAAGTAATAATGTAACTAGAACAGTTCAAAAACACAACAGAAAAATAAAGCTAATGAGTATGCTTATAGTGACATGTTTTATAGAATATTAGCTGGAGATAGTGAACAAAACGCAAGCTACTTCTCATACTGATTAATAATTTTAAGTTAAAACATTATAGATTACAGCCTCACAGATTTAAAAAAAGAAAAAATTATGAAAATTTAAGATTTTTTTTTTTGAGCTAATCAATATAAAATTCTATTTATAAATTTTTCCTTACTTTGGCAACTGCATCAGAGAACAAAATAAATATGCTTCTATCAGTAAAAAATTTGAAAATTTGTGCATACTATAAGATAAATAGCATAACTATGAATAGAAAATAGAAAGAGAAAATGCAAAAATACCATTTCCTCACGGATTGAATAATCTGCAGTTTCCAAGTAAGACAACATTTCTCCTACAATTTCTTCAGCATTACTTTTATCACACATGGCATAGAGAAGATCAACAGCACGTTGACGAACACTAACATCTTTTTCCGTCTAGATAATAAAATTAATTTACAAAAAACAATTAGGTAAATTATAACAAGATTTGTTCAGATGCAAAACCTGTTTTTTGATTTAAAAAAAAAGTGAGATTAATATATCTACACATCAAGTTCTTTCTTAACTTCAAAATTAAAATTTTTGCTTCATTCTTTTTAATAGCAAAATAACTTCATTTATAAAAGGAAAACTAACATTTTGTTATACAGTTATTATATTTTGTAAGAAGCATTTAGCAGCTGGGATATTCAAATAATTATAAGATTTAGTGCTTAACATGATTAATTTTTCTTATATTTTGCAAATAAAGCGATTGATTTTAAACAAAAGCTTAATTGAATCCTATACTGATATGAAATTAAAATAATAGATTCACATTTATATGACTAAGTTTAAAATTTTACATAACTTCACAATTTATCCAAAAAATCAATAGAAGTCAAAGAATTTAATGAAAGAAATGCTTAAAAAAGTGCATTAGCTTATAATTTATAAACTTCATTGATAAACTATCTTAATAAATCTTAAAGTATTAGTTAAGTGTTTGAGCAAGAGTATTTTTTTACCAGAAGTTCAGTCTAATGTATAATTCCAGATAAAATAGTTAGAATTAGTTATACTGCAACAACCTAAATAGTATGATCTAGGTAAGCTGACTGAACAGACTTATAAACTAGTCCGGTGCAAAAAAGGAAATAAAAAGGGCATCTCGGCGTCATGACAGCCATATTATCAGAAGATAAAAACTTAGGAGTTACCACCATAAGAAAGATGTTTATCCCTACTAATATGAACAGGATTATATTAAGAAAAAACTCTGTTTTCAAAAGAAATCAAATTTAAAATTATTTTAGTTAATTTAGAAACATACTTTCAGTGCATTAATAATAGTTTCTTGATGTTTCTTGACAGCTTCATGAGAAAACTCAGATGTAGCAAGCAAGCACATGCTTTCCAAAGCTAAGTATCTATAATGAAAAAAATGTCATTATCTGATGACTTAACTCTTTTCCTAAAAGAGTACTCTAAAAGCAAATTACCTTAAATTTGTTTCTCTGTGTTGAAGAAATTGACCGAGCTGGTTACATGCTCTTACAAGAAGGTTTGGCTCACTATTTAAAAAAAAAAAGACAAAGGTTAACTTATATTTAAAATTATTAAAATATTCCTCTAAAAAAATTTTTTATTTAATTTTTAGAATAAAATTTAAATAGCTTTAAATCTGAGAAAAAAGCCAATCTTTTTTCTTTATTAATATTTTCAAAGATAAATATGAGAGAATTTCTTGAAATTTTATAAAATACAAAGTTTATTCTCAAACACCTGACTACTTGGATCATAACGATTGCTACTACAGCTATAAATAAAAAAATAAACAATTTAAGATTGAAACATTTTAAAAAACAATAAATAGGCAGCAACTAAAATCCTGTAAAGGATACGTACAATTGTAAATATGTAAAAAATATTTACAATTTTCCAGTTATATAGAAAGAAAAAAAATCCACCTCCTAATGAAAAAGAAAATGTTACTACAGAAATATTGAAATTAACAAAATTCATATTCTGAATGTGTCATTCATTATTGCATAATACATAATCATATCATATGAGTGCTATTAGAGCAAAGAACGAAATTTAAGTGTTTTATTTCCATATTTTTTAAACTTAAGATATTAAAATTAAATAATTGTGGGTCATTCCTTTTGATTATTAGGTCCCCAATACTTTCTAATGCATGAAATACATTTTTATATTTACAAAATTGTATTTAAATTTTCTAGTGAATAATATTAATAGAAGTTATAATTATAAAATCAAAAATTTTTTTTAAATAGAGTAAAGCTTAAATACAACGATCAATAATGAAACAATCGGAACACAATATATTAGAATCCATTAATCAATTGACTTTTGTTTATATTGCTTACTCAGTCTTTTCTTTGTAAACAAATTATTTTGTAGTTTCATTATGATATATAGATGGCACATCAACATCAAAATTATTTTATCATTAGACACTACATAACAATATACTACATTTTTAAAGTTTTAAAAATAACTGCTAAAAATAAACAAATATTTCCCAGCAATTTGTTCAAAACAAAAGAGCAATTTTTTTTTAAATTAAAAAATAGGCTTCTTCCAAATATGTGAATCACATGATAAAGCCAATTAAAAACTAAAAATATATTTTCTGAATTATAAAAATAACTAATTAACTAAAACTAAACATTAAAAATAACTTAAAACTTTTTTGAAACAGATTAAGCTACTAACTTCTTAATGTTAAAAAATAAACAGTCAATACCTATCCATATGAATTATTAAACTAATGGCTTCAAATAAAACTGCATTTTTTGCATTGGAATGCTGCACTTTTTTGGATTTGGGTGGCTCTTGAGCTTTATTTAAAATAGTTTCAAGGCACTCAGTTAAACGTCCTCTTACACCAGCATCTTCTAAAAATATAAAAAAGGTGCTTTATATTTAATAAAGAAATAAAAGTCAGTTAATCTTTTTAAAAAAGACAAAATTTCAAAAGACATTTTCAAAATTAGGTACCATTTGAGAAATTGAAGTATAAATAAATAAAATTATTAAACTAGCATAATTTTCTAAAATAATTAAACATATAAATCTTTCAAATAATTTGTGTTTTTTGCAGTTTATATTTTGAAAAATATTTTACTTGTTAAATTTGTCAGATTTGTTGAAAATTGTCATGTCTGTTACCTAACCTGTTTAATTAAATTAAACTATTTAAATCTCAGCACACAATAATGCAAATTAGAATTTATTGTAACTTTAGGGTCCTACTATAGATTAAATAAATATTTTTAATTATAAAAATATTTATTTAATTGTTTTTGCCATGTCTTACCATTCTAAAAATTTTTCAAGCATCGTTTTATAAAGTTCTGTAAAACAAAAATTTACTTCTGTTATTTGTTCTCGTATTAGATAAAAAGAAATATGAACCTTTTACAATATTAATAATACATCAATTTGCATTTTATAAGAAAAATTTTTATAACAGATATGACATTTTTTTAAAAAGTATATTGAAGGTTAATATTTAATGTATCTTTCAAAATAGGGAAATGGGTCTTTGCATCAGGTATATCTATACCCAGTAAAGCTTCTTAGTCACCTGCTTACTCGAAAGCAGCTCCAACTCCAGCTCCTTAACCATGACGTCTCATAAAATTACCATGATTCATATTTAAAATTGTTCTCAACTAGAGCTGTCTAAAAGGGAAAGCAAAAAGATATTGAAGATATATAAAGATAACAAACTGATATTGCATTGTGGGACCATCCAAAGGTGTCCATTTTGGTGGAATTTTTCTTAAGTTCATCTAATATTGGTTAAAGATGAACCCAAATTGCAACTGGCTCATGATGATCTTAGCACTGCGAAATTGTCTAGAAAAAAAACTGATATTTCTCTTCATTTTTTTTTTTAATATAAAATTCTATTGCGTAATGTAACTTGTATTCTTGAAGGTCTAAAATGATGTACTAAAATTTCTGTGGCAAGTTTGCAAACATAATATTCTAAGAAGTTAATGTATAGCATTGCGTTATTTCATTGAAGTTTTTTTTTAACAATTTTAGTATGTTATTGTTATAATATGATATTGTTGTCTAATATTGAAATTTTTTTTTTTTTAATCTGCTCTTATTGTTGAATTTTGTTATCAGTTCATAAATGCTTGTCTTCATAATTTCTTTCGATATAACATGAATATTAACTCTTTTTACCATACTTGTTTTTTGTTGCACATTTAATTTATTTGACCAAGTTTACCATTTTATTTTATCCCTAGGTTCATTAAAATTTGTATTTAATAAGTACTTCGTCCACTATTTGTTGGAATTCATACATGTTTTGGATGAAAGAAGTTTAGTAAACTTGTCTGAAACTTTCACAGAAACATTTTTCTTTACTAACATTTTATGAAGACTTTAAATTGTCTTTGCCTTTTTATTTTACCTTTTCATGATGTTAAGTGTGATACTCTTTTTTTCTTCTTATTGTTGCCCCGCTAAACATTTTTGTAGAAACAATTCAGTTGCCAATTCCAGTTTAACTTTAAGACTATTTTTTGAGAGGGAGGGGAATACAAAGCTAAATTTTAACCTTTATAAATTTCACAATAACATTTATAAATGTGTTTTAACATTTTTAAATGTGTTACTTCAGGATAGCAATTTGTCTCTAAAATTTTGAGTGTTCTTAGAATATGATTAACAAAACACTAATGTTTTTTAAAAATTTATTATTAAACATTAAATGAGTATGTTAAAAAAAAAGCATTATAATGCAAATGACATATAATTAGATTAAAAAGTTCGAGTAAAGAAAATTTTTATTAGCAATTAAGACATTAATTTCTGGATTAATATATTTTATTAATTAAAAAATTACTTCTTATTTGTTATAATCTTATCAGAAAGTAATTGACAATTTTACACAATTGTAAAAATATGACAGAGTGGAAAACTTAGTTATTGGAATGTAATTTGTGTAATAACATTTTAGTGTTTATGTTTTGGACAACTGTATTTTCAGCTTCCCTTAATTTAATTTTTCCTTAAAATAAATTTTTTTTTAAAATTAGGACCATAAATCATTGTACTTCTTGTACGAGAAACTGTATTAATAAGTATGACACTAAGAAAAATCTTTTCAAGTTTTTGTTTCTTAGAATTTCAATTACTTTTCAAACTGACAATATATGGTACCTAAATATGAAAATGACCTATATATAAATTTATATTTAATAAAAATAAACCTATGTGGCATTGAATTCTAATTGATATTTTACTAGCAAAACTTATCTAGTTTACAGCAATATCAATCAACATAGTCATTTTCATAAAACCTAACTATTTATCTCAAGACACACAAATTGAAATAAAATAAACTTACCTGGTGGAGGATAATTCTGCAGTAGGCGTAATAATTTTACAGACAACCATGGAGCAGGAACAAAATAATATGTATAATCTTGTAAATCTGTATAAGAGGCAGTCACAATCTAAAATAAAAAGTACAAAATATTCTCTTGAATAGCCGGAACAAATAATGTCTATATATAATTAAAATTTAAAAAAATTTTACAATATACCAAACATAATTGTTATGTATAAGTAACAAAAGATACTTCTTTAATTTCCAAGAAGCAGATAGTCAAAGTTGTGTTTCCTTTTCTGATGTAGATGCATTCAGAGCAATAAAAATGTATCCATATAAAGTGGAACTAACAAGATAACAATTTTAACTTCCTTACAAAAGTATCCAACGCTGTTGCAAGTTGGTTTAAACCAAACACCAGTACAAATTTTAAACACCATTAATAAGAAAATGATAAAGCATAAAACTACGGTTTTAATTAAATTGTTAAAAAGTGCACTATTCAAATAATCAAGCTCTGAAAACATAAATGCTATTATTAAGGGAAAAAATTTGAAGAGTTTGCTGAGCAACATATATTACATTTTGAATTTATTTTAACACATTGAGTGCAATTTTAAGTAGTTTTATCACTAGAAACCAATTGCAAAAAATTTGGAAAAATTTCTGTTGACTCTTACCTATAGAGGAAAATTTTTTGAAGGATTATTCTACTCATTAACCCTTAGACACAGAATTTTCATTAATTATATTTTTCAAACTTTTTTCATTATTTTGAATAAATTTAGGTCAAAATAAGTAAAAAATATTACATTTAACAATCAGTGGTTTTTAGATATGAAATACAGCATCTGTGTTAAAAGTAAAATTTTCCAAACATGACTCACTTACAAACAATAAATTATCAAATTTGCACTTATTTAAATCTCAGGGGTGCTACTCGCAAAATATCAAATTGTCTCACCAGAAATTGCATTTCGTCTCAGTTAAAATCTCTTTTTGGCTCAGTTTGTCTCAGCTAAAATTATTTTTTGACTCAGTTTACCTCAGCTAAAATGACTATTAATCAGTTTGATAACAATATAAAGATAATTTTCAGGATCCATAAAACCATTAATAGCATACTAGGAGTACTACAATTATACATACATTCACTATTGCTAGGATTTTAAAAAACCTGCATATGATTGATTATAAGAGTCCACAAAATTGTTTTATGGACTCTGTTGTTTTCATATATATTGCATTTATCATTTATGCCAATGAATAGTATCTGTTCCAGAATTTTACAAAGTAAATTTTAACTTTCTTATTTTTTAAAATATAATGGTGTTAACTTTCTAAAAAGAAATATCTATTTAGTTTCAGTAATTCAAAAGGGAAAATACCCATTTTATTTTGAGCTCAAATTTCATCTCAAAATATATAACTATTCAGTTACAATGAAAGGTCTACAGATTTCAATAATTAAAAGAGAAATTCAGTAATTAAATAATGAGAGTTTAAGAAAATGCAAATAACACAAAAAAAAACCCTCTTTGATAGAATTCAGGAGGTGCAGTGAAATTTTGAAATATTTTAGGTAGGAATTTTTCAAGAAAATTTTAGGGAGCACTTAATAGCCAAAAATTAGCATATATACATTTTTATATCAAAACAGAAATATTTAAAAACTATTATAAACAATTTAAAAAGACACATATAAATATAATTTTCTTTCTAAAATGACTTGCATCCTTTATTAAGTATAAAAGTAAACTTTTTAGTTTATTGGCATTGACTAGTAGATTGTACTTTCTTGCATTCACAAGATTAGTTAGTTGACTATGTTCTTTTAATTTATATAGCTAAATATACAATCATAAAATGTGATTATGAATGCACTTAGTAATTGTTTAAATGCAACAACTGTAGAAAAATATATCACATCTTTACAGTAACTAATTCAAGAAAAAACTTAATTCTACTTCTTTCTAGAATCGTGAAACTGGATTTTAAAATTGCGTGAATATGAATTGCGATTTTGGGTTTTAAAATCGCGTGAATATGAATCGCGATATTGAATTACAAAATCGTGTGAATATGAATCACGATATTGGATTTTAAAATAGCGTGAATATGAATCGCGATTTTGGATTTTAAAATCGCGTGAATATGAATCGCGATATTGGATTTCAAAATCGCGTGAATATGAATCACGATATTGGATTTTAAAATCGAGTGAACATGAATCGCGATTTTTGATTTTAAAATCAAGTGAATATGAATCACGATATCGGATTTTAAAATCACGTGAATATGAATCGTGCGGTTGGATTTTAAAATCGCGTGAATATGAATCGCGATTTTGGATTTTAAAATCGCGTGAATATGAATCGCGATATTGGATTTCAAAATCGCGTGAATATGAATCACGATATTGGATTTTAAAATCGCGTGAATATGAATCACGATATTGGATTTTAAAATCGCGTGAATATGAATCGCGATTTTTGATTTTCAAATCAAGTGGATATGAATCACGATATCGGATTTTAAATTCACGTGAATATGAATCGTGCGGTTGGATTTTAAAATCGCGTGAATGTATATCGCGATTTTGGATTATAAAATCATGTGAATATGAATCGCGCTGTTGGATTTTAAACACACAAAAATACAAATCACGATATTGGATTTTAAAATCGCGTGAATATGAATCACGATTTTGGATTATAAAATCACGTGAATATGAATCGCGCTGCTGGATTTTAAAAACACAAATCACGATATTGAATTTTAAAATCGCGTGAATATGAATCACGATTTTGAATTTTAAAGTCACGTGAATAGGAATCGCGCTGTTGGATTTTAAAAACGCAAAAATACAAATAGCGATATTGAATTTTTAAATCGCGTAAGTAAGAATCACAATGCATAATTTTTAGATCACGTGAATACGAATCGCAATGAGTAATTTTTAAATAGCGTACAAATACGAAAAACGAGATCTGATATTACAACTACGTGATAACGAATCGCAATATTGGATTTAAAAATGCATGAATACGAATCGCGATGTTGGATTTTAAACTCGCGAGAATACAGATCGCGATATTGAATTTTTAAATTGAGTGAATAGGAATTGCTAGTACGATGTTTAAATAGCGTAAAAAAAATCGCAACACGTAAGTTTTAAATCAGTTAAATACGAAAATCGATGATTGATATTCAAATTGTCTGATTAAAAATCGCGATTTTAGCATATTCCAGCGCAGTTCTTAATATTTAAAATTCCGAAAATCATCCAAACAAAAAAAAAAATTAAATATCGGCGGTCGAAACGAAACGCTTAGACTCCTTTCCACTCTATAGCGAAGTCGCGGTAATCCGACTATCGTTCCGGGGGCTTGGGTTTCTCTAATTGGACTCCCTAAAAATTTTAGTTTCTGGAACATGGTCGGAAATTTTAAAAATTGGGAGAAAAAAGCGGATTTCCGCATTTTCGCGGAAGTCTTTCATCCCTGAATAATTATGTGCACTGTACAGTTTCCTAAGAAAAAAAAGCAAGATAATAACCAATAGTATAAGGGAAGAATACCCTCTTTTCTTACAAGATCACGTGCATACGATACTGATTGCTACTCACTGCTGTACATAATCCAATTGTAGACACAAAACGTATATTCTATATGCATTCCAATAGCTGATTTGCCAAACGGAATTTCTGACATTTAAATGACGTATTTAGGAGGCGTGAACGGCAAAATGCTCTCCAATGAATCACGGCGATGCGGATTAATATTTGAAACTGAATTCAGGTTTGTCAAATTTTGGACGTTTTGTCTCTGAATGGTGCAGCTTTGGCAGAAACTGAGCTGAATGTCGCAAAATGGCACGGTTATGCCGCTTTGTCTCAGTTTGTCGCAAATGGAGCAGGCGTAGCATCCCTGAAATCTAAGAGAAACAATAATTCTACAATGAAATTTTAGCTTCAGAATTATTTATTGATAAATATCTGAATATGAATGGAGAAAAAAAAATTAAAACTACATCTTTTTAATTTTATATTTTTGAACAAATATAATTCTGAGAATTGAACAGATTGATTAATTATTAGAGTGTTTTTTATAGATAAAAATACCAAAATATAATTTTTACAGCATGTTCCCAAAATGGCAGCAAACAATTGGTAAATATAAAAGCATGTTTTCCTTTCATTCCCTTTGACTTGCTGATTGTGGAAGAATTTTTTGTATATAATTGAAAGCCAATTTTTTTTTTAACCATTAGATACAAGGAACATTTTTCACAAACACAGATTATTGCTTAAATTGTTTTTCTCAAAAAGATTTTTATTTTTCTTTAGTTCTGTGTAACAACCCCTCAAGCATGACTGAGGTTTTCGTAAAAATTAGAGGGATCACTTAATCATCATTTTACAGTACCAATTACATAATAAAGTTTTACAAAAAGAATTTTTAAAAATTAATATTAAAATAAGCTACTTTAGAGAGAGGTAAAAGCACCATAGTACGAACTTACTCTGCTCAGTCTGGAAACAGCAAGTGACACACAGCCTTTATATTCATCAGGATTTTTCTTCACGAATGCATCAATTAAGCTTACTGCAGAAGTTACCACACCCTATTAAAAGTTACATTAAGTACATTATACAAATTAAATATAAAAACAATCAAGATATTTAATGTTTAAACATAACTTGTTTAAATGAATTTAAAAAACATAAGCAAAATCTGATAATTAGCAAATTTTTCTTTAAACTAAGGCTGTAGTAATAAATTTAATAAAGCAATTATTTTGTGTATTGGAAAAAAAAAAGGAAGGTGATGTATTGAATCTTATACAGTTAAAAATTCGATAACAATATTTTAAATCCTGAACACTAGCTGTGTACTATTAAATTCATATAAAAATTACATTTTCACTTAATTCATACATATTTAAGTGAATGATCCCTCGATTACAGATTTTAAAAAAATGCAATTTAATTTTTTTTAACAGAATAATTTATTGAAAAAGCTGAATCAATGAATCTAGTTTTGGTAGTGAAAATGCTTGAAACACTTTTGTACAATTAGTGGAACATACATCAGACATATTAAAGTTTAAGAGATTTCAAAATAGTTGAGTTGTATTATTAAATAAAATGTGGAAGTATAAATTTCCTGCAAAACTGATGTATAGCTCTAGCAAATATTTGTTCAAAAAACAGAAAAAAAATGCTCCTAGCCCTCTTAGAAGTTTTTAATGCTCACTGAGGCAAGTAACATACAAGTAAGGAACCCATAGTTTAGACTTTGCAATTCTCTGGTCATATGTTATTTAATAAAATTAATTGCTTGTTGCATATATTTTCATTTGTGTACTATTGTACTATTATCAGGAATTTTGCCAGTTCCTTAATTATTTTTCTTATTTATACACTCACTATATATTTATATATATAGGCCTCAGGTTATTAGGTTCATTTATATAACAAAAGTCTTATCATAAAGCATGGCCTGTATATGTATAAAAACTTTTATCCTTTCAAAATAACTGCTAATTGAGAAACATTGAACATTCATTAAGAATTAAAAAATAATTTATGGAATTCAATTAAAGTCAAATGTACTAAAAAATAGTTTAACGGTTACAGAAAGCTCATTGATTTGCTCAAAAAAGTTTATTCCTAGAAAGCATGATAAAATTTTTATACACAGATATAATAAGATTAAGAAGATAAGGCATAGAAGGGAGAAAAGTACATAAAATTTTTAAGAATAATAATGAGATTTGTGAGAATGCTTCTATACACACTTTAAACATGCAAAAAATTTAATTTGAGCACTTGGGTAATCTAGCAGAAACCCATGATAAAGCATTGGTGAAAAACAAACCATTGAAAACCCCCAAATTACATTTTGAAGAAAAAATATTAAAAACATACCATATGCTGGTCATTTAGAAGGTGTATAATACGAGTAGTCCATTCACCACTAGGAATTATTTCCGGCATAGTACGTAAAAGTCTTAGTAAGCAGAGGGCAGCACTTTGTTTCACTAAATCAATAGTTTCACTGTAACAAAACAAAAAATACTATATACTATAAACAATAGCATCTAGAGAAAATGAGCATACTAAAATGATAGAGTTAGCTAAAAGTAGAACAAATAAATAAATATTTTTACAGTTTCATCCTATAGATATTTAAATTACTGTACTTCATTTCTGCTACTTCATTTTCTCAAACAAAATATGTAGAAAATATCTTAAAAATTTGTACAACGCTTACGATTTCATTCAACTTCAAGGAGGCTATACAACTATTCAGTTAAATTAGCAAAATGCACAGAAGAGTTCTTGCAGAACAATAACTATCATTGATCACTATATTTTAATATCTCAGGAGAAATTGGTGGCAAAGTATATTTACGCATATATATATATATATATATATATATATATATATATATGG